GGGAGGGGGGAGAAGGGGGTGTTAAGATACTACTTTTCACAGCTCTTGTGCATTCAAAGCAATTATGAATAAATATTAATCTGAATAAATTTACTTACTGCTAAAATAACATACAACTTCATGTAAAAGGAAGTTGATGGCTTATTATTCTTTTAATTATAATATAAAGCAGAATTGTCCTTATATGTAATATGCCAAAGGCAAATCCCCTTGCGTATTTTAACAATTCATACATAGACACGTATAAGCAAGAATATTCACCAGTAGCAGCATGCTGTGCCTTAATATTATGTTGCTCATAAGCTGCTATTATGGTTACTATGCGAATAATATACCATATGTAATTGTTAAAATGTTCCTTAGGAAATTTTTCTCATAAGCAGCTACTGCTTTCAGAACTAGTTGTGACACACTTATCCTATTTCTTTTGAGTTATTTCACCAGTTACAAACAACTACTTCATTACTAGATCATGTAAGATAATACACCATGTCTCCACAAGATCTAAAGCCGTGCTTCTCATTTAACCACTTCAATTTTTTACTTTTGCCTGACAGGCACATGGAAAATGCAGTCACACAGAATTCTATGACAAACTCAAGATTTAGAGCATTGTTATCAAATATAGACCATAAAGAATCTCACAATAGTGACCATAATCCTTTTGCTTTCAGTAAGGAGCCCCACCCTCCTTTTTTTATTTAAACAAAGTACCATTCTATAGTACAAAATACCTCCAATAATTCTGAAAAACTTAGGGCGTGCCTGACTCGCGTGTTACTAACATGTAAAGGAGAAATAGCGTTTTACCTAATAGTTTCACGTTTCACCATGTGTAAAGTCCTTTTCACCTTACTGTCAATAACCACATGAATTCATAAGGCTACAAACAATTCCACTATCGATACAACCTTTCCACAAAACTTATTTTGCACTGTAGGTCACTCGCACATTCTAATTCTGTCAAACAACTTGGAAGCCACCCCCTTTGTGCACTCCTGTGTCAGTTCACCATAAAGACATGAGAAAAGGATGTAACCGTTCAGATTAGCAAAATCCATCTAGCACAGATTCCATGAATACCAACGATAACCGAAGAGTAACTATAACCGGTGCTATTTTTGTAGCCGGAGATGAAAAGCCTAATTTCGGATGATACATTTCGGTTTCTCTTCTCCACGTACGCTGTCAGCTGCAGCTGTTCACGGAGAGCGTGTTCTCGGCTGCTCCTCCCCGGGCGGCAGGGCACTGCTGTGCAGGGAACGGGCTCTCCCTCCCAGCCATCTGCTGCAGCCCGGTGCCGCTGCCCCCCCCCT